TAACATACTTTTTAAAAAATGATTATAAAACAATTATCACTTTAAGTTGTTCTGTCCACTGCAATGTAAAAGCCTTTGTGGAAGAGGCAGGGGAGTGACTGGGAAAGAGAAGGTTGCCGAAAGGAACTTTCTAAATCTAATTATCATTGCATTTCTCCCAGATATTTTCCCCAAGAGTGTTTTGGCAAAATCTCACTGGGAGGGCAGAGGAAGCACACATTACTTTCTCTCAATGAAACAAGAAAGGAAACAGGTTCTGCTAAGAGCCAAAAATGCTCTTAGTTACTTGTTTTTTGTTTTTAAATCAAAGAAGCTTTACTTGGCTCTGAGTGCCGACGCCTGTCTGCTTCCAGTTCAAACAAGTCGGTCTCGTAGAGACTTGATTCAGAAGCTTTCTAAGATACAAAGGCACTATCTTGCTTTGGCTGAAGCAAAGTGATGATATTATATTCTCCTTGAGACTCACATTGAGATTCTTAGAGAGTTTATGAGGTATTGCTAACCTATAGCAAAATAAATTTCCCTGTGGACTAGCCTAGAAAAGCTTTATGGTCAAAGTTAGTAAAAGCATCCACACAATTTCCCTCCTGAGATTTATAGCTTCCTCACCAAAGCCATAATTCTCAAAACAGCAAGAAAGGGCAAAAGGAAGCTCTTTCGGTCTAGTATGAGACCCAGAGGCAGTGATAATGCCTCAAGAACATAAACAGTTCTAGGCTTTTACATACTGTATCAGAAATCCTACTGAAAAATGGATGAAGTTGTATTTATTCTTTGAAACAGAAGTTAGCTTTTAAGGTTTTGTTTTTTCTGTATGAGGACTATAACTTGGAGGAAAATAGAAGTGTCACCAGTATCATTATTATTAGGGCATACACATAAAAGGAACCTATAATGGATATTTGTAATGTAGATTCAATTCCCCACTGTGCATCCCAGAAGAGTTACCCTATGTGGCCGTGGGCAAACTTCACAGTTCCAAGGAGAAGGGAGTGGTAAAACGCTTCCAGGTATGCTCTGTGTAGAAGATCTTGAAAAGGGTTGCCATAAGTCAGACCTGACAACATACAATGATATTATTAATGTAGGTTCGAGGCTTGTTAATAAGTACTGTCAACCAAACAGACTTTAGCACAGTAGAAACATTAGTCCAGTATTTTTAATGCTGCTTATACTACACAGCTCTAGGTGGGCAGTGTTCGTGGAATAAATTCTTGAATATTTCTTGCCCCCACCAAAATCTGCTTCAGTCTTTCAAGGTTTTCTCATTTTCATCCTTCCTATTTGTGATGTTTGTCCTACCCCTACTACACAGTCTCCTTTCTACCTCTCTCTATCCCTTTCATTGAGTTACTTTTGACTCCTACATCCTTACTTGGCTTAAAAAAGGGGGGATGGAGGCATCAAATTGAACGTTACGGACCGTATGGGGAAACTTTTGAAAAAATACAACCTACAAACCAAAAATACAACCTATTCAAGCCCACCACAAAAATACAACAAATGTTACGGTCAGCAAAGGACAGAAGGGACCCCCTCACCACTGCAGGAATATACCGGATACCTTGCAGTTGCGGACAGGTATATATTGGAACCACAAAACGAAGCATTTACACCAGAATCAAAGAACATGAGATACACTGCAGACTAAAACAACTGGAAAAATTAGCAGTAGCTGAACATGCCTTAAAACAAGCTGGAAATTCTATTTCAAAATAGTGAAATACTGGACAACACCATCAATCTGTATCTTAGATTGCACAGGGAAGCCGTTGAAATCCATAAACATAAACAAAACTTCAACAGAAAGGAAGAAGGCGTAAAAGTAAACACGGCCTGGCTTCCAATTCTGAAAAATACGGCCTGCAAAAGGTCAACGACCTCTACCCAGCCATAAGGGCCAGGGCGCCAGGGCTCATTGCACAAAAAAGACCAGCTAATGACACCCATCTATCACAGTGACAGATAATCTCTTCCCCCTTTTATCACAACAAAAACATGCTGATCACCCTGTTTCCTGAAAAAAGACAAAAACTGTTCCCACAGCTGTAAATACTCAACTATTCAACAAACAGCAACAGAGCATGGACAGAGTTCCTACTCCAGTCCTCTGAAAATGCTGGCCACTGAGACTGGCGAAACGTCAGGAAGAACAACCTTCAGAACACAGCCAAAGAGCCCAAAAAACCCACAACAATCATTAGATCCCGGCCATGAAAGCCTTTGCAAATACAGATGGACCTACAGTTGTCTAGTCTCATACCCAAGAAAAGGGTGCATGTCATTTTCAATGGTATTCCAACAGCAAGAGGTTGTTGCTTTTTTTTTTTTTTTTTTTGCTGCTGCTGCTGCTGCTGTATATTTTTGCCCGGGTGACACTGATATTTCTTGATGCATCATCTCCATGAACACAGAGGACTAGCTTCTGCAGCTACTTAGATCTCTTTATTGCATTTGTTTTCCATGGAGGAGTTATGCACAGTATGTTATTGACTTATCCTCTGGCAGCATGCCTTCTTTGGCGATTCTTCTTTGCTGTTTTTGTTAGTATTGTGGTAGTGAATCTGGAAGAGAAAAGGAAGAGAAGGAAGTTTTGGATATCCCTAGGAAACAGTTTGGCCAGCCTAATGGTATTTAGTTATGGAAAAAAAATGAGGCAACTCTTCTATAATTTTTTTGCAGGGGTTCCTTGATGCTTTGAATGGAATTCTACCCCCAGCCAGGGGTACAGTCCTTATTTATTTCATTTTGTTGCTTTGCTTTGCATTGCATTTTTGTGCTGCCTCAGGAGACCCAAGAATGATAATACTGTACATTATTTAAAAAAACACAGACTAAATTCACAATAAATTATTGCATTAAAACAATTAAACATATAACATTATTAAAACAATTATAAAAACATAAACAGCTTAAAACGAACATTTTAAAAAATCTTAATTTGCAGAGTTTTCACTGCCCGCTTAGTTGTTAAAAGACTTCTAAAAGGGATGGATTTCACCTGTCACTAGAAGGACAAGAAGGAGGGGGCTAATCTAGCCTCCACAGAATGGACTAATTCTGCATCATTCTTGGAGTAGTGATAGGAACCATTCTCTCATTGTGTTTCACCAGTTTTGCGCACCTAAAATCTTAACAGCAATCAGTATACTCCAAATAATTTCTTTTTACCTGGAATCCACCTGTGTTTGTATGTCAAGAAAAACTGCCAAAGGATTAAGAAACAACACAAAAATGTGTAGTTATCAATATTGTAAGTGCATTTTCCCTCAAAAATAGTTAATTAACCTTATAATTAGTATCCCATCCAATAAGCATAAGATTATATTTAGTTGGCACGTATTTCAGATAACCTTTATAGATTCAGATTTTTGGACACACTCTTGTTGAAGACCATAGTAAAAGAAATTAGGTTCATATTTTGTTGTTGGTTCTGAAATATAGTCTAAATAACTTCTTGAACTTTCTGTTCACTTGATTGCTTTAGATAAGAGCAGTGAAAGGTCAGAACCTCCAAACTAGTTGAATATTCTAGATGTTCCAAGTGTGATCTCTCAAACTGAAATGATGGGGGGAAAAGAAAACTATTTTATTAAAGTGTCTTGTGTGAATAATAGGAATATGAATTCTTAAGACAGCAGAAAAATTTATTGCTTAATCACAGACTCTGCCCTATCTCTTAATATAAGACTTAATGGACAGACTTTGTGCATCCAGCTTTTGCTATAATTTACCTCCAGATGAGTCACTTTGTTTTTTAGATGGTAATAGAAAGATATTTAAGAACAATTATTCTAATTGTAAATAATCTAGTTGTGACTGTAGTAATAAGTAAAAACCCATGGCTGTTCTGTGGGTGATGCAGATTACCCTCTGGATGATTTGGAATTCATTTCCAGTAGTGAGAAAATACAGCCATACCTACCCTACCCCTTTGTATGATATAGACTAGTATTACATGCCTTTAATGAACAGTGATCCACAAACCCTTGAACTTGGTTACATAACACACAAACAAGATGTATGTGTCCGTTCCCCCCCCCCCGCAGTGTTTCTACAATTTTGAATAAGAATACTTCTTATATACTACAGTTTCCTGGGCAATTTAATATCAGAGGTGCTGCCTGGTGGTAGGAAAGGTTACAGGAATCACTTTTCTAGGCTGCATTAATATTTTCAGTGTTTAAGTTCAAGTAGTGAGCAACAATGAAGGGAAAACCAATGTCCATAGAGAATGCTAAAATGTTTTTTATACTGAGTTTTCTTTTGCACATTTCTCCTTTATTCAGATTGATAAGCTCTTCCCCCCTATTCTCCCATACTGTAATATACACCAAAAGCAATCAAACCCCTTTTAATTTACTCATACTACATGCTTCCGATAATAATCAAAAACAACAACAGTATGACGCTTCATTAAATGTAAGTGGTACATTGAAGGACTGTGACATACATGTCTCTTCTATAGAGATCTAAGCCGGTAATTAGTAAATTGGCTCCGGTATGATTCAGACTTCAGTAATTGTGTGCTTTCTTGGCAAACCATAAGTAAAGCAAAGTTGGTTTCCCAAGACTTAGCTGCACCAACAGGAGTTTTCACTTTACTAGAGTTCAAGTGGATTTAGGCCACTGGGTGAAATGCAGTGTTGGTGATACAGAGAGTATATTGTTTGAAATCAATGGTGCTATTTTAAATAAATAAATAAAATAATAAATTTAAATGGGTCTACATTAAAGTTGGATTTATCATGGATATAGCAATTGGGATTTGGTTTCCTGCAATATCTGCAGGACCAGATGGTCCTCTTCATAGACCAAGGTATGAAAAGTGCTAAAAAGATGTTCTGATTTTTTTTTAAAAAAAAACACCTGTTAATTTAGGGGCAGTGGAAAAGGTCTCTTCCTAAGTAACCAAGAATAAAATTGTATGCAACTTGTTTCAATTCCAGTCTCTCTCTCTCTCTCTGTCTCTGTCTCTGTCTCTCTCTCTCGTTTTGAAGGGTCAAATTCTTGGCTTGTGCCAGAAACAAAAGGAGCAATTGTGCAAGGTGGATATGGCCATACCAGTGTTTATGATGAAACAACGAAGTCTATTTATGTTCATGGGGGATACAAAGCATTGCCTGGTAATAAATATGGATTGGTTGATGATCTGTACAGATACGGCGTTAACACAAGGACATGGTAAGAATATTTCATGTTTTTACCATGTGGGGAAAAGATTTTATTCCTATGTTTATAATTTTCCTCAATTGTTAGTCCACTGATACTGTGACACATTCACATAATTCTAAAAATATCTCCTCTATTAGTTAAGTGATTAAGTAGTGATGATCACAACATGCCCTTTGCATGGAAGAATTCATTTAATATCACAAACTGATTCTTCTCTTTCCCAAGTTCCAGCACAGTTTAAAAAAAAAAAAACAAAACCAGGAAAAGATGCCACCAGGCTCAAATGGGTATGCACTCTCCATCCACGGTTCTTAGTTCTTTGGGAAATGGGTATGCACTTTCCATCCACTATTCTTAGTTCTTTGATCTTAGTTCTTTGCGAAACACTAAGAAGAAAATTTTGAATTTATTTATTTATTGCATTTATATCCCGCCTATCTATTTGAATGACCACTCTAGGCGGCTAGAGTGGTGCTGGAGGAGACTCTTGAGAATCCCCTGGACTGGAAGGAGAACAGACCTCTCCATTCTTAAGGAAATTAACCCTGAGTGCTCACTGGAAGGACAGATCCTGAAGCTGAGGTTCCAATACTTTGACCATCTCATGAGAAGAGAAGACTCCCTGGAAAAGACCCTGATGTTGGGAAAGTGTGAGGGCAAAAGGATAAGGGGACAACAGAGGATGAGATGGTTGGACAGTGTCACCGAAGCGGCCAACATGAATTTGACCCAACTCTGGGAGGCAGTGGAAGATCGGAGGGCCTGGTGTGCTCTGGTCCATGGAGTCACGAAGAGTCGGACACAACTTAATGACTAAACAACAACAACAACAACAACAAGAAAATAGTCCTAAACAGCAATGATATAAAGTGAACAATGACTGTTTTATGCAGTTTCTTGAGTGTCAGATATGGTCTGATGGGTGCCATGGCCCAGGTTCTGTAAGGAACCTCTTGAGGGCATTCCATTAGGCCAAGGAACCTCTGTGGTATGATACTCACCATCCTTTGAAGCCCAGGCGGGTGTGTGAATTAGCACTGTGGGCAAGCTTCTAACCTAGATTTTCCACCTGGCTCTTTACCTGAGACAGAATTCATTCCTGATTGTGCACTTTGTACCTAGCACACACCAACAGGACAATGTAGGCCACCCAGAATAATAAACTTAGTGAATGCAGCCTCTTGGCCAAGGCACCTTCTTTAGACACAGTTTAGACAGGTTCCTATACTTTTTCAGTGTATTGGTACAGGTATTTCAGGGTAACCTCCTCACACGCCAAGGAATTGTATGAAGCAGTCTTTCATTAAAAACCAGGGCACATTGTTTCTGTTTCTGCTGGTGTTTTGTTTTCTTCTCCTGTTGCAGACTAATGCAACTAGCCATTTGCAATCCTGGTAATTTCCAAATGAAAAACTAGGATAATAATGGAGAGTATAAGGAAAAGGGTGGATATGAGGACACTTGTAGAAAATGGCCACCTTTTAAGTGCAAACGCTGAAATAGTTCCAGAAATATTTTTTTTATAAAAAAAATTGCTAGCTTGGCATGGTAGCGAGAATATTTTTTTAAAAAAATTGCTAGCTTGGCATGGTAGCGAAATCATATCATCATGCTTGCCACCTACAACTCACATATTTTTCTTTTTCTCAACAGGACAATTTTGAAAGAGAGTGGCTTTGCAAGGTATCTCCATTCAGCTGTCTTGATCAGTGGAGCTATGCTAATTTTTGGTGGAAACACCCATAATGATACTGCGTTGAGTAATGGTGCAAAGTGCTTTTCCACTGATTTCCTGGCCTATGACATTGGTAGGTACTATATATTGTTTGAAAGTTAAGTGCTCCAGACTTAATGTATATGCACTGTTATTCCTGCTGGATCCTATTTTAAATAAGTGCCAAAGTACCTAGAGATAACATTTTAAGCTGCTTTGTTTTTAAGGACACAATACATTTTAATCTTCGCAATATGAATTGAGTTTGATTAGATCAACTTGCAGTGGTTATTTATTCAGGATTATTTATTCAGGATTATAAATGCGAGATTTTAAGACAGTGGTACATTTAGTTCTAGAAATGTCTAATATGTAAACTATTACTGGTATACCATGGAAACAAAACATCTAAGAAAATTATTGTGTATCTGCTCCACCAAGAAAAATCACTGCATAATAAATTCTGCATGCTCCACCCAATCAATCCATGGTTCTTTCCACTTAGTTTTCCAGATCTGTTATTTATGTACCTTCACTTACTATTGAGCAGTTTTATGCATAAATGTCCTTTGTTATGTTTCAACCAAGAAGCATGGCTTTTCTTTATGATATATTTTTCTAATCTTTTTAGAGTAGAATAGCATATTTATATTTATATATAAATAAAAGTTCCTGTGAAATAGGATACTTGGTTTTGGCATCATCGCTGGACTTGATATCATATATTGACTGGATTGATACCAGGAGTGATCGCTCCCTATGAGAATCTGTCACTGTTTATGTCAACCATGTATTGATTGATATCACATATTGACTGGATTGATACCCTCCATGAGAGTCTGTCACTGTTTATGTCAACCATGTATTGCAGTTTCCAGAATTGGCAGTGTCCTCTTCTGTGTTACTTTTTACTAAAAGGAAATGCTCCATGAGAGCTGCAGTGGTTTATGGGATCAGCAGTAGGAGCCCTTTATATAGACTAAAGGGGAAAAAGATGTCCTATTCCATGAAACTTTGTGTCTCCCATGGAGCATTGCCATTCCCAGCCGTTCCCACCACATCTTTTATCTTTTTGAAAGGAGAAAAATGGTGACGGAGGCTCATGTGTGCATAATGAAAGCTGCTCTGTGGACTGCAATTATTTGCTACAACGTGTAGAATTTTGGTGGAATTTTGGGCAGATTCCAGGAGTTGCAGTCCAAAAAATTTGGAAGTCCCATCCTTAGCGCCATCTAAGCAATTTTTATGGGAGGAAAAAAAAAGAGCCTTTAATAATGGCCCTTTCAAGTGTCTATAAAAATGTTGCTGTGCTCTTCCAGCAAAAGCTGATAGCTTGAGTGCACAAGAAATCCACTTCACTCAGCATGTAGAAGCAAAGTGATTCTGCCTGTATTGCACTCAATAGACATACGTGACTCTGCTCTACCAAGGTAACAGAGGAGATCAGGACTGGAGCGAAGACCCTGCATAGGTGTCCAGTATTTAATGCAAAAACTGATGAGGCCATGGGGCAGCCCTTTGAAACATATTTCTACAGCCACCAAAATGGGAATCGAGCACCAGACTAGATAATCTAAGCTTGATTGGAAGAGGCAATCCTTCTATGCAAAGCATGCCAATCTTCATTTTCTAGCTATTCTTCCAGTTACTACTGGAAGTAATGAAGTATTCTAAATATCAGTCACCCTTACTTCTAATAAAAAGGCTTCTAAGAATATGAAGCATCATATTTGACTCTGTACATGACTATTCTCTTCCTACCACTCTGTTTCCATAAAATTGCAACCTCTGTCATCCAACATGGACGGGAATGGGTGAATTCAATTCAGACGATCATCATATCTACTATTGTGGGCAAGATTCCCATTGAAGAAATGGAGTAGCCCTCATAGTCAACAAAAGAGTGGAAAGACCTGTACTTGGATACAATCTCAAAAATGGCAGTGGAAGACAGGAGGGCCTGGTGAGCTCTGGTCCATGGGGTCACGAAGAGTCGGACACAGCTTAATGACTAAACAACAACATACCATCATATTGACTCATGGATTCTCACCATCATTACCTATGAGCCTACTCTTGAATTAGATCACCGATCATCACTAGGAGGGTATATTCAATTTCCCCTTCTGCCATTGAGGATGTGTCTTAATGGCAAAAGCATACTGGGTTTTATTCCCAGTATTTCCAAGTCATGGGAGGATGGGTATCAAATAGTTTGACAGCAGTTACAATTCTACTGGAAAAAAATAGACTGGTTCATAATGGTCTCCATCCATCTTTGCCATTGTAATTTTTTTGTTTCCTCTGGGACAAGATCTCTAGGAATTCATGATGCATCTTCTGGACAGGTAACAGCACCCAAGGTATTTGCAAAATGTGTGGCACCAGTGGAAACACATCTTTGGACTCAGAGAATTATGCTCTTCCCCTTTATGAAGGAATAGCTCCTAGTGGGAAACAATACTGTTTCACTGAATAGGATTTGCCTTTATCCCAATTTTCTTTGGGACTTGTGTCTTCATATAAATGAGAGTTAACCTATTCTGTGTACTTGCAGGTATAGAAGCACACCAGTCTCTGCTGCTTCTTTTTATGTAAACCCTTCGGTTAAACAGTTTTTCAAACACTGTTCAAAAATAACTACCCTCCAGTGTCTCCTATATCTTCTGCACAATTCCTGTCCCTTATTTTGTCACAGTTCATGTGACCACTGTGGAAAATTTTCCTGAAGAATCATAAAGAGTAATGAGGTTTGAGGGAAAAGGCTTTACAGTATTTCACCAGTTAGGTGAAACACAAACACACGAAGTGCTGGTATTTCTCCAAAGACTTCATGTGACTGAAAACGTTTATATAGTGGTTAAACAGAGAATCTTTAAGAACAAAGGAATCCTGGTCACAGTTGTTTATAACCCCCAGCCTTAGCCACCAGACATTTCCTCTATAAAGTGAAAACAATAAAATGTCTAACTAGATCTTAAATAAGCATTCTTACGCAATCCTTTTGATTAAAGTTCTGTCGGCTGCATTTCGCTCGGTGTCCTCTCTCTCCCTTCTCCGTCCTTCTTCTCCTCCTTCGCCCATCTTCCTTAAATTAAGCAGCTATGTCCTTGTCCATCGAGGAGTTGAGATAAGATAAGGTCAGCTTGCTCTTCTTAACTTTTTTTTTCTTTAGCTGGAGAAGAACTGACCTTGTACATTTTCTCTCTAATTAGCACCTGGGCATAAGCAGATTTCTAGCTTTTTCGTTGCAGCTCTGAACTAAATCCTATGAAATACAACACTATCTATTTTCATAATCAAATTCATGACAGCCTTTATCCCAATTTTCTTTGGGACTTGTGTCTTCATATAAATGAGAGTTAACCTATTCTGTGTACTTGCAGGTATAGAAGCACACCAGTCTCTGCTGCTTCTTTTTATGTAAACCCTTCGGTTAAACAGTTTTTCAAACACTGTTCAAAAATAACTACCCTCCAGTGTCTCCTATATCTTCTGCACAATTCCTGTCCCTTATTTTGTCACAGTTCATGTGACCACTGTGGAAAATTTTCCTGAAGAATCATAAAGAGTAATGAGGTTTGAGGGAAAAGGCTTTACAGTATTTCACCAGTTAGGTGAAACACAAACACATGAAGTGCTGGTATTTCTCCAAAGACTTCATGTGACTGAAAACGTTTATATAGTGGTTAAACAGAGAATCTTTAAGAACAAAGGAATCCTGGTCACAGTTGTTTACAGGAAGTTTACAGAAGCTTGTAGAAATGCCTAGATGTAAAGCACCTGAGAAAAACAATTGTGGCTTCCTTAGAAAATCAGCATTTCAACACTTCCTTGTCTTACATTTGGTGATTTGACATTTTATTGACTATACTAAAGCCAGGTGGCTATCTCAAATATCTTTAACTATTTGTTAATTCCTTTGTCATACACAGCATATTATGTACTTGTCCTGCTTTGAGGTTATTCGTTAATTTACCCAGAATATATTTCTGACTCTAGACTGTTCCCCACTAAGATACTGCCAAAACAGAATGATTGCATTTTAACTCAAGCACTTTATGAAAATTCTCTTCACTATCTTTTGAACCACTGACAACTATAGATTGCTGCTTGCATTTCCAATAGCAGTGACTTCTGCTAGTGAACTGTGGTCTGTCCATTCTGACTTACTGTATTTGGAGATGCATAAGGAGATGGTGTTACAACCAGGTATATTTTTCCTTTCAAAGGTGGTCTCTTCTTTTCATCTTAACCCTGATATTGTATTGCCATTTCTCCCAAATCCTTCATCATTAAAGACATCCTTTTATACTTCAGATGTACATAAGGCCTTTTATGTGCACCACATTGCATCATTTAGAAAGTATGTGAAATGTTTTATGTGCTACCAAAGAGTTTGGAAAGGATTGTGTATCTCTTCAGAATATTTATCAGAACTGTGGCCCACGTCATGCTGGCCTGTTATCTCCAAATACAGTTTGATGTCATTCATTCCACAAGATCATCAGCTGCTTCTTCCACACTACTACAAGGGATGCTATTGCCAGACATTTCTGTGACATGGTCAAGTCCTCTTTACAGCACTACAGGCTTATGCTAGAGTAGATGCCTCTTTCAGAACTCCAATTTTCTCATATGTTTTGATATGACATCCCAACTGCAGTAAGTCAATTGAACCTATGAGTGAGTCACAGAAACGATGAAGAACAAAATTGTTTATCTGTAATTGTGAGTGGTCAGTCTGTGAACTAATGCGGCTCAATCCCCATTTCTTCCATGGACTTGATGTGGTGGGGAAAGAACTAAAGTAAAACCATTTGGACACGTCTAGACATGTGAGTTTGGAGGGGCCAGACCTCCCACCAAAAGAGCTACTCAGGTGTGGAAGAGTCCAAACAGGCAGGTGCATAACCTATATGTGTGAGCTCACAGATTATTTGAGTAATAACCATAGCTACAACTAAGCAATTTGTTCTTATTAAAAGAGGGACCCATGTCTGTATACATAAACACATTTATTTCAGGGCATTTCAGTACCAGTTCTTGTTTTTAGAAAATCTCCAAATGGGTTACAGTTGAAACTGTAGCAGC